GTTTTTGTTGCTCTTCAGGCCTGCGTATCCGCTAATGTTTTGTGATATATATATATATATATATATATATATATATATATGTATATATAAAATCATGCATAATAGCCATTTCGAAGCCGCGTATGTTAAAATTATCTCTTCAACAACATGATACGGATCGCTGTGGCATCTCACCTTCAGGGTATTATGTAGTGGCGCCAGCTGTTTGCATGCATCCCGGCCACCATCCTCACACGACTGCGAAGTATAATTTTTTGAACAGGAATTATAGTCCTATTCACGTTGTTTCTCACTTATGTGAATTTCACTATACCTTCTTATTCTCAGGCCTCCCCTCCATTAGTTCGTAATGGACATGTCCATGATTGAGGATGACGGGACGCTTAGTCACGAAGAGGAAGCATTCTATTCGGAAATTCGGGGCCTCGTCGTTGTGTTCCTATTTTTTGTTATCTTGTTCACTATCGCTCATTTGGCTCTGCAGTTCTTCACCGCCCGCCCTAACCCGGATATCAAACAGGACCGAGCAGATCGCGTGGTTCATCAGCTGGTGTTCGGGATATGCACTTTCACACTGACCATCAGTTTGACCGGTTACAGTCTTTTGCCATTCTCTATTGCCGCTAACGAGGTTCTCCTCGGTTTCCCACAGTCCTACTACGTTCAATGGTTGGATACAGATCTGGTAAAAGATCTCTCACTAATTGTGAATTTGGGCACGAAAATCTCCTGCTTGGCTCTTCCATTCTCTTATTTTCTTCTTATTGCTCATGGTTTTACTGCATCTCCACACGCATTCAGTTCCCGATTTGTTGAGGCAGTCAGTTTACTTGTGTTTGTCTATCTATTGGTATTTGGTACCGTGTGGTCCATCGGATCGTTTGTGGCCGCTTTGCACTCGTTGATTATGGGAGCATCACCGGCTTCAATGGTCGTTGACTCCACCTTTGAGGATACCACTGTTCTCTTCCCATCCACAACACATGGCCTCCCACCCCTCATCCCTGATAGAATAGTCGAAAGCAGTCCGCCTACGACACATTCCAACAGTACTAACTTTTTCACCATGCAACCTGTGTCCATTTTGATTCACTCTATCCAAACGCTGTCGTGGTATGAGTTCTGGTCCAAATTCGTTCTCCACACATTGATCCGAATGCTGGAATCGGTTCAACTTAGTGCTTCCCTGTTCGGCTTGGTGCTTTTGTTCGCCTGCACTCCCATCGGTTTGGTCAGTATCGGATTCTATTTGATTAGCACTAGTATTCAAGCTCTCCCCAATCTGACCACACCCAGGTCAGCACTCATGGACCAGTTGGCTGAATTACATTTTGATGTGCTCTGTTTGGAGGACGATTTGCGAAGTGCGGAACTTCTCAAACCGACTGTGAAACCGAATTGCCCAGTTGGCTTCACGCGTTGGTATGATCGATTGAGCTTTTTGGCACAACAGCAAAAAGTTTGGCAGGTTGGTGATTTGAACCACGTAACCAAGCATATGGTTCCGGTCATACATGCTCAGTTACCCGAGTTACGACGAGAGATTGCCCGACTACGACGACGTATGTCTCGCAGTATGTCACTTGTGTTGCGCGAATGGTCTCGACCATTGATCCCTTGTCTCGTGTTCGGGCTGATCTTTTTCTTGCTTCAACTGATGCAAACGTACGTCGTGTTCAATATGATGGAACTTGTTTGGAATCTGATGTTTGGACCAGATCAGTTGTTGCCGAGTAAATCAAGTGCTTCAATCGCAGGCACATCAGCAGCCACAACGTCTACAGCAGCCGCCAACAGTGTAATGAACAAAGTTTTGGTTTCCAACCTATTCGGTGCAGAACATTCACGAATGACCAGTCGATCAGCTGCATCAAGTTTCACTCTCGGTCACAAACCAGTCTCTGTGTTTGGACATGTCGGGGCTGTTTTACAGGTTAGTTTATATTTTCGGAATTGCTGGTCCTAGTGGGAGTTTTTCACATTTTTATATGGCATTTCACAAAGACGATTTTGTTTTAAAAACAGTGTTTCATTTTTTCTGTTAACAAAGAGGATCGGCCATTTTCAATTTGTGATTTTTGTTGCTCCGTAATCAATCGGACAGCGTATTGCAACTACCTTCTTAATCGAACGCATTAAATTACGATTCAAACTAACATGCTGACCACTCGAGTGGGTGAACCATTTTGTTTTTAGTTTGAACAGCCTTAAGAGTCTACTTCCTGAATTCGTTTATCCACCTGTCGGTCTGTCGCTTATCCATGATAACCTGTTTTCGGTTTCGTTATGCCAGTACCTTCACCACTGAATTCGAGCTGCGCTCCTTTAGTGAAAAACCTGTTTTCTTTTTTCTCCAGAATTATCTAGCTAATTGTGTTTTCAGGAGTGTTCTTTACTACACACTCACAAAAGAACGTTGACTTTGAACAGTCTACAATTGCACGACTCCCCTTTCACCATATTTTTATTGTGTGATCGATAGCAGGTGTGACAGCAGATGGCAAAAACCCACTAGAACCTCCTGTTTCCTCATGAAGACAACTAGCCTGAGCCCTGGAACTTAGACTGGCAAGTTACATCGGGTATCTCTATATTGGGCTTGGTGTTTTGTAGGGCTACAACGAAAGCTACCTGCCACCAAAACTGTATAGCGGTGTCTGGGTTCGAACCTCTGACCTCAGAAACCAAAGCACGCCTGTGATAAGGACTTAAACCGCTTGGTCACAACTATCTACGGACGAGACAGTTTACATGCTCTAGTATTTATGAACGTACTTGAACTTATTTTGAATAAAAGTTGAGTAAGGGTCGTTCGCAGGATATGAGAAAATATATCCAAATCACTGATCGTGCAGATATCTTGCAAAAAGCCATAAGCACACCGGCACATAAATTGGTTGAAACATGAGCGGCACGCAGAACAATACATTATTCATGGATGTTCCTGCGCTATTTAGCTTTGTTGAAATGTAATACGCACGCACCTTGGCGGACTACAAGAAAATGTATAATTATTTCTTACTACACAAAGGCCAGTTACGGTACTCACAAAATTTTCAGCTGACTTTACACCGAAATTTAGCAGCGGAAAATCGAGTTTCGTCTTTCATTCAAACTCGAAAGTACTTAGATAAACCTGGTGCTAACCATCTAAAACCACAGATTTCTTGGATCAGACGCCACGGAGCGATTGACTTGACTTTATTTACAGCGGGCTAGAAATGGGACAAGATTTGAAGATCATTGATGCATTAAACTAGAAGCAATGGATTGAGGGATTAACTAGCTGTTAAAACCCACCCGTTGATCTTTATCTCGATGCTTTTGATCGGTCGTCATGCTTCGCATCCTATGATGCTGGTATTTGTTACAGTCGATTCGATTCGTTTGCCAAAATCATCCTCCTTTCCAACTAAACGGAACACTCATTCGCACACAGTTATGTCCTGAGAATTGTGAATTTCGACGACGCAACCTCTGTGTGTGTGTGTGTGTGTGTGTATTTGAATGTGTACTACTACGAAAAGTAATCGATCCGCTAGTGAATTGTGAAACGAGGTGAGAAAATTCACCATGTTATTGATTGACGGTGTGTCAATTCGTGTCAGTTATGATACCCGTGGTTCTGTACTTTATGGCTTCCTCTTAATCTATGGATGTTTGTAATTGTAGAGGATGTTGATATCACTCTTCTATAACTTTCTCAATTTAATAAGTCCTGGTTTTTAGTGAACAGTACATTGGTGCTGGGACATCTGAACTTTAAATGATATAATTCTCCATTCTTTTTGTCCACATCTCCAAGCAGTAATGAACGGCTTGATTTCATTTTTCCCAGATGAAATACAGCTTCCAATAGATGTGCAAATTATACGTTTTACCCATTTTTTTTGTTTAACTCACATTTATATGGTGCTTAACTATTTGCAAGACAAATACCGCCCGGGTTCTAGCTGCTCAATTACTAGTAAAAAATGGTGCAAATGCTGAGTTGGATGGTGTACAGAATATACGGGTAGGCGGACGGACAAGTGAAAGTGTTCCGATTTGGCGGTCATACATTCCGGTTGGGATTGGGAGTGCCATGCGGTACCAAGCTCAATTTTTAGAAATTTCATTAAACTCTCAAGTAAATGACTAGAGACCAGAGGTTATAGCCGGAGCACGAAAGTGCGGATATAATGAATTTTAGACTGAAACTGAAGCAGGTTGAAGCATACATGTGGGCTCGTAAATATCCGTACGAAGCTTCAGTCGTATTTGGTGGATTAATTCGATAAGAACGCTTGTTTTCAGACCCCATCTCAGTCGGTTTTTGACTTCATTATGCATTCAGTAACCAAGATCATTTCATTTTTTCCCCCAGTACATCCTCGGTTCTTTTTTGCTTGGTCTATGCTGGAAGCAGCAGATCACGCGCGTCTGTGCGTGTGGGAGCACATCTGTTCGTCTGACTTGGTTATTTCTATCCCTGGGGCCGAATTTCGTTCATCGACGAGCAACTGGTATACTCGCTGAGTGATTTGGTTGGGTGTCGTAAGCAGTCTAGTTCGTGCATCTTCTCAATTTCTCTTCGATCCTACTTTCAATCTTCCTGTTTTCCTCCTATTGTTCACCCAAATGGGCAACCAAAAGCGTCGCACGGATATGCATGCGCAATGGTTGTTTAAACTGAACTGAACTGAGCTGGTGTATTATCAGTTGACCAGCTTGCATTTTGAATAATCACCCGAGAATAAACTGATCAGAGTTTTACCGCTGACCTAATTATAAACGCAATAGGTGTACGCTTTTATAAACAAAGTGGCCTCGAACCACCCTTGAGTGCTAGCCCTGAAATGTGATTGCCCTGTTTCTTTAGTTTAAAATCTCTATTTTTTATGCGAGTGTTTAGCTGTCACATGCTCAACTTACAACAGGATCGCTGTTTAACTTGATAACACTGGTTGTAGACACGACTATGTCCGGTTTTCAGGTAAAATATCCTCCACCGATTGGCTTGCACTGGAGCTATTGGTATGCGATTTTGTTTGTTGCACCTCAGAAAATGCACCTGACGATCACGCGTTCAGGGCGCTTGAAAGTTCATTCATTTCAATAAAATGGGACCAGAAAATTTGGGTGTTCCTTGCTTAGACACAGGTACATCAGTATCTTCGATACCCCTACAATAGTTTTCTTTAAAAGGCCCAAGTCAAAGTCAAAGTTTTACCACCGTAAAAACAATCAGTTAACAATCGCAGGTCCTCACTATGCATTGATTGGTAGCTTCACCCCAGCATATACGAATACAGACTCCCCTTAGTCCATGCACGCGCGTGTGCATCTGTACCCTAAATGCAAAATAAACAGCTTTTGTATTTTCCAGGGACAATGGAGTGAACCCGGTAACCAATTCTATGGGTGACAATCTTCTAGGTCGTGGACTGAATTGGCAACAGCCCATTTTGTCATCGTGAGTGTTGGCACACATAAGCAGATGTGTATGAACCTGGCGAAATGAGCTTTAAGGTCTTGCAATGTTAAACGATTGATCTTCCTTGAGTAGGACATTGAGTACGACACTGCATCAGATCGCGCAACTGAGCTGTCAAACGGCCTGGGCTGGTTGACTGAAGCATGAAGTAGGTCTTTGAAGCTTAATGAATCAGCATTGACAGGTTGGACTCTGACACTGCTCAGCTCGCAACGGGTACAGTTGAAATAACCCAGAGGATCGGTACCATCTAGACAGCGAGAACGTCATTAAAGTTCACTGTCGGAAGTAAACCTCGAAATGGAAGGGCATTTTGCGTCTTTGTGTTTGTTTGGGGAATAGCGTTGTAGTCTGATTCTCTGCAGTCCGCAAAGCTAACTGTTCTACATCGTGACCCAGTAGTTTATAAGAACGTCATTTTCCGTCAGTACATTCTGATGATCCCTCCTTTTGTCGTTTGACCCAAGTTATAGCGGTCATTTTTGATCGAAATTATCAGCACAGTAATCAGTCGGCATATGAACTTGCTCTCTACACGTTGTTATCTTATATAATATGAAAATGAAATGACCATTTCCTTCATGCAGACTGTATCTAGAAGGTAACGGACATTCGGCCAATCACCGATTATCCGTCATGCAGGGTTCATACGTTGGAAATTCAGTTCAATTTAGCACATGAGGTCGAGTTCTCACACTATTATTACAATCTCTGTAACGGAGCTTCGTTTTGTACTCCGGCTTTATGTAGTATTCGCCCTCGATGGCTTGGATTGCCGGTTTTCTTAACTTTTCATTGGATTCTTGTCACTATCGCGTTCTCCGTTTCGATTGTTCTCCACACAAAACTTGAGAATAAAAACTTCATTTCATATGAAATTTAAATCGATCTAAACCATTTTAAGTTAGATTTGAGAAATTATAATTTTCATTGTATAATAAAAATGTCATTTGTCGGTGTTTCTTACGCAACAATACTTGTTCTGAAAACGAGTAACCGTTTTTAATAAACAGATCGACTGCGTTCTGTTCTGGGCTGAGCCTGGAATGTGCGAGGCACACTTGTTCTGGTTGTTAAGCCATTGATGACAGTCAGCCCATTCACCCAAGTTCACCTCAAGAACTCCAACCTCTGTCACTGAACGAATATTGTTATTCGCATAGACCCGTGATTCTCGGACATCGCTCGGATTGCTACTGCTACGTGAACACAAAATCGCCGGTATTCTTTCTGTCTTGTCTACTTTTAATAATGGTCCAATTTCACTCCCCGAAATGCACTGAACCTTGAATTGGTATCAACAAGGTGTTTCACTGCGCACCGTACCACTTCATTTTGGGCCATAGCGGGTGCGTATTTTTATTTGTTCCAAATTGTTGTTTGATGAACAGTAGAAGGTGTAAGCCCCGTGATCACGAGTACCAACTGTTTACCCGTGAGTACCAGGAACGTGGGTGAATCGCATGAGGTGTCGATATCATCAGGGTGGG